TTTGGTTGGTGGGAGATTGATCCCTCCCTCCATGAACAACCAAAGAGACAAAACACACTTAGAAGAGCATCCAGAAATACGAAACAATTAGAAGTAAATTTAACAAAATTGGTGCAAGACCTATAAACAGAAAACTGCAAAACACCGAGAAAAATTAAAGATGACTTAAATAAACAGAATGAGATCCCACGAATGGGAAGACCCAATATTGATATTATGTCAATTAGACCCAATACAATGCTAATAAAATCTTAATAGGGTGTGTGTGTGTGTGTGTGTGTGTAACCTGACATGCTGATTTCAAAAGGTATATGGACATCTGGGGGGTGTAGCTCAATGGTAGAGTGCTTGCTCAGCGTGCATAAGGCCCTGGGTTCAATCCCCAGCATCAGTTTAAAAAAAAACAAAACAACAAACAAAACAAAAAGACGTTTATGGAGGGAGACAGCACATTGAAAAAGCTGCAGTTATATAGTTGTACAAAGAAATACCTCACAGCAGGGAAGGAACCATAGCATCTCATGTCAACATAGTGGAAATCTAAAAATATACTCAGAATATAAAGAAGGTTGTGGCCTGAATTGATGTAAGAAAATTTAAAGCATGAAATTAATATATGAACCACACATCAGAGCCCCAAAATATATAAAGCAAACACTGAGATGTTGAAAGGAGAAACAGACAGTTCTATAATAATAATGTTTCCAATACTCAGATTTCAATAATGATACATCAAAAAGGAAATAGAAGATGTAAATAACACCATAAACCAATGGAACCTAACAGATAATTACAGAACATCCAAACCAACAATAGAATACACATTTTCCCTCAAGGGAGCATGGAAGAATCTCCTAGAAGATTACATGTTAGGCAGTAAAACAAGTCTTAATAAATTTAAAAAGACAAATCAACCAAGAATCTTTTTAGATCACAGTGGAATGAGACTAGAAATCGATAACAGAAGGAAAACAGGAAAATTCACAAACAGGTAGAAATTTTTAAAAAGTTTTAAAGCAATTTATGAGTCAAAGAAGAAATCACAAAAATTAGAAACACAACAAGACAAATGAAAAACACAAAATACCAAAACTTAAGATATACAATGGAAGCAGCACTGAGGGAAATTTATAGCTGTAATTGCATAGATTAAAATAGAGAAAGATCTGAAATAAAAGCTTAACTTTATACTTCAAAGAAACAGAAAAAAAAACTAAACCAAAAGCTAGCAGCAGGAAGGAAATATAGATTAGAGATAAATAAAAGTAGAAAAACAATAAATAAAATCAATTAAGACAAAAGTCATTCTTCAGAAAACAACATAATTGATAAACTTGTACCTAAGGAAGAAAAGACTAAGAAAAAAGACTTAAAGAGATTCACATTAGTAGTGCGTTCAAAATCAGCAAACTCAGAAATGACAGTATGGATATCACTACTGACTTTACAGATATAAAAAAGATTATAAGAGTATTATAATCAATAGTATACCAATAAATTGGATAATCTAGAAGAAATAGACTAATTTTCAGAAACAACCTACCAAAACTGAACCATGAAGAAACAGAATATCTGAAAAAACTTATAATCAGTAAGGAGATAGAATCAGTAACCAAAACCTCCCATCAAAGAAAAGCTCTGGACCAGATATCTTCATGGTGAACTCTACCAACACTTAAAGAATTAACAACAACCCCTATCTAACACTTCCAAAATATTGAAGAGGAAGGGAAACTTCCTAATTCTGAAGCCAGCAGTACTGAGCTATCAAGCAGACACTGCAAGAAAACTACAAGCCAAGCTCTCTTATGAAGAGTAAAGAGTCTCAACAAAACACTAGCAAATTAATTTCAGCAATATGTTAAAAGGATTCTACACCATGACCAAGTGGGTTTTGTTCCTAGAGTGCAAAGATGCTTCAACATACAAAAATTATTCCATGAAATACACATTAACTGAATGAAAGAAAAATCATGCGATAAAATTAACACCCTTGAATAATTAAAACACCCAAAGAAGGAATAAGGGGAAACTTCCTCAACACAACAAAGGTCATATATGGAAAAAACACACAGCTAACATCATACTCAATGGTGAAAGAGGGAAAGATTTTTTTTTTTTTACATTTTTTTATTTTATTTTTTAATATTTATTTTTTTTAGCTTTCGGCGGACACAACATCTTTGTTTGTACGTGGTGCTGAGGATCGAACCCAGGGCCGCACGCATGCCAGGCGAGCGCACTACCGCTTGAGCCACATCCCCAGCCCGAGGGAAAGATTTTCCTCTAAGATCAGGAACCAGACAAGGATGCTTGTTTTTGCTATTTGTATTCAATATAATATTGGAAGTTCCAGCCACAGCAATTGGGGGGGGGGGGGAGGGAAACCAAGTTGAAAAGAAAGATGTAAAATTGTATCTGTTTGCAGATGACATGATCTTCTATGTAGAAAACAGAAAAATTATACACAGAAAACAAAATAAATTCATTAGAGCTATTAGAGAAGTTCAGCAAAGTTGTAGGATACAAAAATAAACACAAAAATTAATTAATTGCATTTCTCTATACTAACAATGAAAAATCTGAAAAGAAATGCCATTTATAATAGCATCAAAAAGAAAAAAATATTAGGAATAGAGAATAAACTTAACCAAGGTGTTAAAAGACTTATGCATTGAAAACTACAAAATGTTGCTGAAAAATTTAAGGACAACATAAAAAAAGCAAGACATTCTATGATTGTGGACTGGAGGAGTTAATATGCTCATGATGACAATACAACCCAAGGTGACATGACACACAGATTTAACACAATTTCTATCAAAATTCCAGTAGCATTTTTTTGCAGTAGAAAAGCTCATCCTAAATTTTTATGGAATCTCAAGAAACCTCCAACAGCAAAACAAACAAGGAAACCTTGAAATAGAAAAAGCTAAAGGATTCACAATTCCCGACTTCCCAAATTACCAAAAAGCTACAGTAACCAAAACAGCATGCTAGCGGCATAAAGACAGACATTCAGACTAATGGAATAGAGAGCCAGAATTAAACCCTTACATAGATGGTCAACCGATTGTTTTTTAATAGAACATGGATGTTTTAATACATTTCATATTGCAACAAAGACACTGAACACTTAAAAACAATTACATTGATAACAATAAAAATAACCAATTCCTCGGTGCTGAGGTTGTGGCTCAGTGGTAGAGCACTTGCCTAGCACATTTGAGGACCTGGGTTTGATCCTTTGATCCTTATTTATAAAAATAAAATAAAGGTATTGCAACTGAAAAATAAGTATATATTTTTTTTAAATAACCAATTCCACAGAACACTTGCAAATGCAAACTTTTTCCTCCAAAGAAACTTGTTTTCACACATCTAAGTAACAAATGACATTATAGTCTTCAGATTGCAAAATATGTCCAGAACTTTTGATTCTAAAGAAACTGATGTGCGGTGATTGAGAAAAAGAATGTTGCTTTGTCCAACAACAAATCTCTTATATTTTTATAACACACTTTTTTTAGTGACCACGTATTTTTCTTATTTATTAAATGAAAACCTAGACATGTCTGCACATAACAGTGTTCCTATTTCCAAACGCTATTTCAAATGAGAACACCTATGGCTGATCCCAACTTAATCGGGATAGTTAATAGTTCACACATGTATGTGTGCCATATGCACACATACATGTGTGAACTACCCACAGCCCCTTGAAAATAAGACCACTGTGGCCACAGCAGCAGTGGGGTAAGATCACGGTAGAAGATGACACAGTGGTTAACACTAAGTCATATCCTGCTCCTGAGAACTCTGCTCAAGCACAATTAGGGTCGTCCACCCTCCTGATAATGAGTGAAGAGCCTTGTTTCTGGTGACAGAGGCGGGCCCCTCTAGCTACCAAGAAGTGAGCAGTTACTAGCAGTGAAGGTCACTGATTTGCATAGAACTAAATGGTCATTATTGACATATGCTTTTAAAGGCTTTAAACCTTTTTCATCTGGCAAAGACCTGCATCTTAAATTTGATTTAGCTATCTATATACATTTTTCTTTGTTTCTAAGACATCTAATTAAAATCCATGAAACCCCAGGACACAGCCTGTGCTGCTCACTGCCAGTCAACTCTGTTGGTGCCTTTGTACATGCAGGTGCAAGAGGAGATGTGGCAATCATCTGGCTGTGAGGCAAAATTAGGCCACAGTAAGCATCTTGATGCAGTGCTCCATCAGGCAGAATGCACCCAGGACAGCATGAGCTGGAACTTAAAATCCTCATCAACCACAGTAATCAGACTTAACTTCAGTTCTCAAAAACACTGTGGTCACATGTGTGATCAGAAAATGTTGGACTTTAAAAATAAAAATTTTTAGTTGGGAGCCGTGGTATATGCCTGGGATCCCAGTGGCTCAGGAGACCAAGGAAGGAGGATCATGAGTTCAAATCCAGCTCAGCAACTTAGAGAGGCCCTAAGTAACTTAGCAAGACCTGTCTCTAAAGTATAAAAAGGGGCTGGGAATGTGGTACAGCACAAAAGTATCTTTCCATGGGGAAGGGAGAGTCTTTTCAACAAATGGTGTTGGGAAAACTAGAATGCCACATGATAAAGCATGAAGTTGAACTCTTGCCTTTACCATATACAAACATTAACTCAAAAGAGATCAAATACCTAAAAGCAGATCTCAAATTATGGAAGCCAGGTGAAAAACAAAATAGAGAAACTCTTTGTGACATTGGATTTGGTGCTGCTTTCCTGGATGTAAGATTGAAATTATAGGAAAAAAAAACCCATACTTCCTCAAAGTTAAAAAAACAATTAAAAAAAAAGAAAAAGAAAAAATAAACTGTACTTCCTCAAAGTTAAAAACTTGTGCATCAAGGGACACCATCAACAGTACACCTAATAGGAAAAAATATTTTCAAATCATATACATGCCTGATAAGGTACCAGATCCAGTATGCATACAATCCAACAACCACCACCAACCAACTCACATAGAAAAGGACTTGAATAGACCTTTCTCCAAAGATGATGCATAAATGGTCAATGAACACATGACAAGATGTTCGGTGCCACCAGTCTCTGCAGAAATATGAATCCAAACCACGATGGGACACCTCTTCACATCCATTTGTGTGGCTAAAAACAAAAGCAAAATGGAAAACAGAGGCTGGCGAGGGGGTGGAGGAACTAGAGCGCAGTAGCAGCTGGTGAGGAGTAAAATATAGCAGCCATTGTGGAAGACAAGTTAGCAGTTTCTCAAAAAATTAAACAGTATTACCACATGGTCCAGCAATTCCACTCCTATGTATATACCAAAGAACTGAAAGAGAAGCCTCAAACAGATACTTCTGCATCAATGTTTGTAGCAGTGTTCATCACAATGGCCAAAAGGTAGAAAGAACTAGACTGTCTCATAACAGATGAGTGGATAGACAAGACGTGGCATATACACACAATGGAATATTATTCAGCCTTAAAAGAGAAGGCAGTTCTGATGCAAGTCACAGCATAGATGAAGCTTGAAAACCTGATGCCGGATGCCAAAGGGTTAACATGATAGGATTCCACTCACTTAAGGTGCCTAGCAAAAGCAAATTCAAAGACAGCAAATGGACTAGAGATTAGTAGGAGCTGGGGAAAAAGGCACAGGGAGATACTGTTTGATGGAAACAGTGCTTCTGTTTGGAGAGTGACAAAAACATTTTAGAGGGCTGGGAGTGTAGCTCGGTAGTAGAACACTTGCCTGGCACGTTGTGAGGTCCTGGGTATGATCCTCAGCACAGCAAACCCCACCACCACCAGATTTTTTTTTTAATTGGAAATGGATAGTGGGTATGCTAGTGTGACTATACTTAATGCTACTGAAGTATACTCTTAAAAATTATTAAAATGGTAAATTTTATGTTACATATGTTTTACCAAACAAACAACAATAAAAAATCTCCAAAGCATGGAATTCAATCCTGGATATTGTTAAGTGCCTCCATATTATGAGAGAGAAAAGCACTAAGACTGGAGGACAGTAGTTTCTGGAGTAGGGAGATGTACCCAGGGGCTTCCATTTGCACCTGTTACGCAGGTGACATCTGCATCTCAATCTAGGTGACAGGCACAGAGGTCTGAAATGGGGTAATAATCAAAGTTGACAAGATTAAGAGCAACATGGGCAGCTTCCCCAGGAGGCACCGAGCCAACTGTGGAGAAGTGAAGACAGACCCTCCTGTGGGGTGGGGGTGGCAGCAGTCATTTTCTCTCTTTTGCCGCTGGCATTCCAGGACCCCACCTCCTGTCACAGCTCTGCCTCAAACACCTTCCTAAATGCCACAGTCTCTAGTAGCCTCTAACATGAAGGGGAATTTTAATTGTTCTGAGAGTTTGGGGTCTGGCTTGGGACTAGCCACAGATCTCTCCGGCCCTTGGGCAGGGATGGGATGAGCCAGGTTGGGACTAAATTGGGGCATTTCTGTCTGTACTCCTGCTAGAGGAAATCCCCTTAGGTGCCTCAGCCTCTTTGCTCAGAATCGCAGACTGGGATCTGCTAAAGGAAGGAGATGGGAGCCCTAGGGCCCTCGCTGGCTCTCACTTAACCTCCCTGAGGTGCGTAGCACCTAGCCCCTGCCTACTCCCCTCCCCATACCAAGGCAGGGGCTGGGGTGAACCTTCCTCTTCTCCCCCAGCAGGGCTGGTTCCCAGGCCTGGGAGAACTTCCTGCCCCTGAGACTTACCAAGCCCCTCAGAAGATAGGCCTTGGGCTGGGGGAAACAGGCACCTGTCACTCAGGCTCTACTCTCAGTCTGCAGCCTGGGGCAAGGCTCATCACTGTAATGGGAATAAGGGGGAAGGGTAATGGGGCCAAAATGGAGGGCTGATACCCAAAGGGAATTCTTGGAGGGCAAGGACCCCTGAACCCCCAGAACAGTGCCCTATCAGGCTCCCAGACTGGATGGATGGACATACTGGTGACCGAGGGTAGGAGCTACAGGGAAGTAACCCTTCCCACTTCCCAGAGCTGTCCAGACAGGGGAGGAACCCCCTGGCATTAACAGTATGGGAGATGGGTGGGAACAGGACCAGAGAGATGAGGAAGGCAAGCGTGTTCATCTAGGTTGGAGCAAAAGGAGGGGTTCTGTCTACAGTGGGCAGGATTTGAAGCATGTGGTGGAATCCAAGTCTTCCTTCTGACTCTGGACCTACCCTATTTTCTGGCACCAACTTTGGCTAAGCCTGGTCTAGGGCTCTGGCCAAGAGGAGAGGATGTGACCTGGTCCATCCACCTTGCTTGAGGGAGAGATTTCTATCTGTTCTACCTCACAGTCCAGGAGATAAGACTTTTATGCCACATACGCCCACCTCCTGGAGCACAGGGCAGCCCCCCAAGCTCTACCACCCACCTGGCAGGCCAGCCTGGGTGCTGGCCCCTTTTTGCTGTGGCATGGGCTGTTTGGGAAGTCAGACTTTTCAAGTTCAGACTGCCAGCCCAAGGCCAGTGATGGATATGGTATGGGTCAAGTACAGAGAAGAAACAATGAGAAGTAACAAATACAGGCTTCCCACCCCGCTCTTTTTACTGTTAACTTTCATCAAAATAGTCCTTTGTAGTTTCAACTAAGAATTCTCATTTCTAGTTCTCAAATCTATAGATAAAAACAGGTTTGAAAAATCTGCCCAATGTTGTGGTCAGAACACTGATTATCTTATATGACAAGACATTTCCTGCAATTCTGAACATGTGACCAGTTGCATAAGTTTTTATAATTTTGATGGAGTTAAGATGCAAAAGAACCACAATCAGAATAAAATGCTTGCCCACTGTTTCAGGAGCTCCACACTCAAAGCACAATCTGTCTGCAGAATTGTGCAGCTTCAGTGCTGATGGAACTTTCTGAAAGAACATTCTGAACAGGACTCCTAACAGCACTTCCTTCCCACTCATTTCTTGGGTGCACACATGAGCATGTTTCCTGCCTAGCTTCTGCCTAGTGCAGTGTACTTTGTGAGGGTCACATCTTTTGGGTCACTAAAGTCCTGCCTTGCTTCGGGCAGTCACCCAAGAAGAGACAATGAACTCAGATGGGCTGAGCAGTTCCAGCCAGGGTCTGCATGCCCAATGATGCCTGAATCTATTTTGGCCTTTGAGATGCTCAGGCTGAATGATAAATAATGATCCTGCTTTGGACACAACTGGGGAGCATGTAAACTTTTCTGGAAGGTAATGAACATGTTGGATTTTTAAAGATGCACCCCTTTGTCTCAACACTCCCACTTTCAGGAGTTTAACCAGAAAAGAGCACTGCAAAACTGAAAAACAAGCACAAGGGGTCCATCCAGCATAGTCTATACCGCAAAAAATTATACATAACCTAACTGTTCACCACTAGGTACCAAGAGACGGCGGATGAGGTTCCCACACTAGGCTGGGCCTCATTCAGGTAAGTGAACCTATCTGATCATGGAGTGTCACTGCACCAAGCAAACCATGGTGTTGACTCAGAATCAAACCAGACTAACTCAGAACAGTTGGAGCAACTGTCCTGCTGAGTGTGTCAGGTGGCTATCCCATTCGAACCCCCAAAGACACAGGTGTTGGCTGGGGTCTCCATCCCATGCCATCACCATCAGCCCATGACTGATAGGGACTTGACCTTTGGGGCTTGTTTCCTATCTACACCCCCTGTCAAGTCACAGTGGAGCCACCCCACCACAGGCCTGACCAATGAAGCCACATTAGGGAAGCCAAAAAGCTGTGGTCAGCATGTGGAAAGGGTTCAAGCCACCAAGTGTCCACACCAGAGCTATGGGCACTGAGGAAGTGGCAGAGGGTTGACTGCTTTCCTGCAGCCTCAGAGGGCCTGCCCAAGGACACCACCATCTTACTGCTCAGCCCTGTGGTAGGATGGTGGCCCAGGGTGGGAAGGATTATTGAGATCAATCCTGAGCTGAGAGCTAGTGACAGTCCAGTAAATGACACTGGGCATTGATCCTTCTCCCATAGAAACCTCATTGCCATCCCCAACCAAGGCCACCCAACACCCCCACCAAGATGCCAGAATGAGCTTCCTCATGACCCCAGGTCCTTATGGTTCTAAGACCCCACCTGGCCTGGTTCCTGCTCAGCCTGCCACCTCTCACGTCACTCACTGGCAGCTTGCTCTCTGAGCTCAGGTGCTCAGACCCCTTTCCCCACTGGGGCATTGGCACATGCTGCTCCCTCCTCCAGGCAATGTCTGGACTGGTGCTCACCTGAATCACCCTTTCCCTCAGGACCCTCTAAGGCCTCTATTCCTGGGAAGCTGTCCTCCTTCCTGGAGCTGCTTTGTATTTACTGGAACCTCAATTAATTAGCAGTGAGGTGACCTGTGGAAGTTTCATCTCTCTGACAGGGTACTGCGGCCTGGCCTCCCACTGTTTGCTGGGCCTGGCCTCAGGCTGTATTCTAATGCTGTCTGAAGGGACACAGGTGGGGGACAGGTCTGCCTAAGGCCTGTAACCAAATGTCCTGGGGAGTCCAAGATGGGATGCTGAGCCCATAGGTGTGTGCCAAGATGGACAGGAGCACCAGGGAGCGGGGCACAGGGAATGTTCTGGATGCTGACATGATGGCAGCTATCTGGACACATACACAGATGAAAACTACCATAACACACACTTTACTGTACGACTACTGTACCTCAATTTAAAATATTTTCTTTTTTTAGTAGAGTCATCTCCTTCAAAAAGCAGGCTTTTCTTCCTAGGGATTTCATCTCCCACATATTGATATATAAAAACAACCCCATTGGAAATTCTCCTCTTCTCCCGAAAGAGCTAATTGCTTGCTCTTCAGAGAAGACTCCTGAGCCGTGAAGACCTGGCCACCCTGCTCTGCCCCAGTACCCAGCTTCTCATCCCTGCTAATTGCACAGAGGGCATTTGGTGAAGCTGCTGAGATGGGACAGAGCAGGACACAGGCTGCTGAGGAAACCCCTCACCACTGCAAGTCCTCTAGTCTGATGCCAAATGGAAGGCCAAGCTGTCCTCCCAGCTCTGTGGGGCCTTGTGGTGTGACCAGAGCAGGATTTCCCATTGGTAACATGTGGCCGACAGCCTCGCAGGGCAATGCCAATGCTTGTGACTCCTGAGACTTGAGGCAGCCCTCCCCCCCTCCCCTCCCCTCTGCTGCCCCTCAGTGCCTCCCTGGGCCATGGGTCCTTGTATTCTGCATTCCAGAAAGTGTCCTCTGTAACACCCCTGTTCTCCAGCTGGTCTCACCCCTTTCTCAAACCTCTGTAGTGGGCTCTATCAAAAGCAGAGAGCAAGGTGAGAAAACCTAAAGTCCTAACACCAGAGTGGAGCCTGGGCTGCCCTACCACAGGGACAGTTTCTTGGGTCACCTGTAGTTTTTCCCCTCATGGACACATCTGTAGCTTCAAAATGAGTGTCCCAGGTGTGTTTAGGAGGCAGGGCACAGCTGAGGTTGCTGTTAGGGTGACTCAATTTCCTCAGGTCCCCTCAAAGAGTCATGATTCTGATAGATGAAGTAGGAGACTCAGGCTGGCCCCCAAGGATAGGGTCCTTCAGATGTGCCCTTGCTCTGGGCTGCCTGGATACGTGGGCCACACAGCAGAGGGCCTTGGATGAAAGTGGGGACACAGAGCTTTCACTAGAGCCAGTTGAGGGGAAGTCAGTTGAATACAGTATCCTGGCTGGTATATAGTAACACAGGAGTAAGGTGAAGATGGGAGGAAAACCAACCTCTTTTCCTCCGTCAAGGGTGCTGAACACCCTCCCTACACCAGGTTCAGCACAGGAGCCAGAGGTCACCACAAGATTGTGTGATGGTTTTGCTATGAGGTATCCCCCAAAAGATCTTGTGTGACTGAGTTATGAGAGCTGTAACTTAACCAGTGCATTAATACCAATAAAGATTAACTGGGTGGTAACCGTAGGCAGGTAGGATGTGGCTGGAAGAGGTAGGTCATTGGGGCTGTACCGTGGGGGCATATATTCTGTCTTGGTGAGTGGAGCTCTCTCTCTGTTTCCTTGTTGCCAAGTCCTGAGCTGCTTTCCTCCACCACACCCTTCCACCATGATGTCAGGACTCACTCGAGACCAGAGCAATGATGTGGCCATCTATGGACTGAGATCTCTGAGACCATGAACCCTAAATAAACTTTTCTTCCTCTAAAATTGTTCTTGTCAGGTCTTTTGGTCATAGCAACACAAAAAAAAAGCTGACAAAAATAGGCATCTGGTGGCCATAAGTCACCAAATTCCTGCTCAGCAGGGTCCATCCAGAGTTGCCCTTCCAGCCAGGTTCCTTTCCTTACACACAGTATTTGGGGTACAGTGCAACTCTCAGAGTGAGGCACACAGCAGGCACTCAATAAACACATGCCACATGAGTGGTGCATAAAAATGCACTGCCGGTTCCCAGATAGGAGAGAGAGACTTGGAATGTGAGGCAGAGAGGCACAGTGACTTCTCTTATAAGGTCACAAAAGCGCTACTGAATTCTCCCATTTCTGTCTACCCCATGGACACCAGCTGGACTGGGCTCCATCATCTGTCTCCCCAGGACCCTCTCCAGGGTCCCTGATGCTGCTATGCCACCCCACAACCAACTCTCCATAGCAACCATGGTGATCTCAAGACAAGGTGTGCCAGGAACCAGCAGGAAAAGATATGGGTGAGTGTCTGCTTGGACTGCACCAAATATGATTTCAGGAGAAGTGACACATAGGGGATAACTAAGACCAAAGGCCTGCTCCTTACCGTCGCAGCAGGAGTATGAACAAGGGAAGGCACGTCACATATAAAATACCCTTGCCACGAAGTCTGTGTCTGAATCTGACCATATTTCTAGATCCATCCACCAACTCACAGGAAATGCAGAGCAACATGTGAAAGGGACACTGGGGACACTGTCTCATAAGACAGTTTGCTTTCATTTTGTATAGCTTTGTTATTATGATAGCAATGAATTAGAGATATTTAAGATTCAATAATCTCTTCTGGCTAATTTTGTGCATGTTTCAAATTTTCCATAATAAAGAGGTTTTTTTTTTTGTTGGGGGGGGTAGGTACTGGGGATTGAACTCAGGGGCACTCGACCACTGAGTCACATCCCCAGCCCTATTTTGTATTTTACTTAGAGACAGGATCTCACTGATTTGCTTAGCAACTCACTGTTGCTGAGGCTGGCTTTGAACTTGTGATCCTCCTGCCTCAGGCTCCTGAGCCACTGGGCGTGTACTACCACACCCGACTAGAATTTTTTCTGTAGTATTGTTTTTTTTGGTTTGGAATCGCAAATATGCCTATTAAAGGAGGAAGGGAAAGAACCAGATGGAGGCAGAGGGCCTGGTCCAGGGTGAGGGATTCTAGCTTTTCCACAGGAGCTTGGGGCCATCTGCAAACACTCTGTCACAAGTTTTTGTTTCAAATGCACTTTTAACTGGTTTTCTAAATCTCAGTGAAAACATACTCACCTTATGCCCAGAAATGACAGGATACAGTGCAGTCTGCCACCAGAGCCAGCCAGCCACACACTATCTGTGATTGTCTGTAAAAGATAAGTACAGAATGCAAGTCAGAGTTTAGAAACTTTTCAAGGCACCTGGATCAGTGACCAATGTCTGAGGAGCCTAACAAGAGAATGGGCTTTCATTTTCCATATTTTCATTTTTATTATCATTATTTTTTAGTGAATTTCAGCCTATTTGAGATTAAATTTTTAAAACAAACATCTAGCCTCTCACCACAAAGAGTCTAAGAATATTGCAGCCAAGACATTAATCTCCAGGAGACCCCAAACCTGTCAGCTTCAGTGGCTTGCCAGAAAGTTCAGGACAAAGCTTCCCTGTCACTACTTGTAGCGTGAGTTACTTCCTGCAGACATACACAGGTAAGAGGGGAGGAGCTCTGCAAAGCTCAGCTGATTTGAAAATCCACATTCACTTGCTAGCCACCTCCAAGAACACCAGCAAGGCCCAGGAAGTGGGCCAAGTGCCCGCTCTGGTGAAGGGCCTTTGCATCCATGGCCAACCAGCCAGCCAGCCTGCCAACTTTCACACGCATGCTCATTGCCATTTCCCTTTCAAACTTCTGGATCAGTTTAACCACAGAGAGTCCTAAGACCACAAGGTGGGCTGCTTACAAAACTCTCACTGCTTCCCTGTATCAACTAGAAATTACTCCAGCATTAAAGGGCAGAAATAAATCAGGAGCTGGGGATCATGCACGACATCAACAAGTCATGTTCCACTGCTTAGAAGAGAAGTGAAAGTTGCTAATAGTCAAGATCTCTGGATTGCAGAAAAGTCAGGGTAGAGAAGTTGCAACCAGGCCTATTTCCTCATTCATAAAATGGGAACACAAGAACCCATTTCAGTCCTTTGTTGTTGTTGTTGTTGTTGTTGTTTTGTTTTTAAATGGGAGGGCAAAAGGAAATAAGAGCTAATAGCATACTTTGAAAAATTAAAAATTAAAATAACCTGGTGATTTTATCAAGTTCATAGCATGGCCTGAGTTCCATCCTTCTTCTCTTCCTTGCTCAGCCTTACTTCTCCATTTCCTCCTCCATAAAGTGCACAATGTTTCCCCCCCACACACATATTTGTTGGTGTATTACAGTTGTACATACTGAGGGATTTATTGTTACATATTCAAACATGCAAGCAATACACAATATAACAATATAATTTGGCCAAAAATCATTCCCCAGAATGTGATGCTGCAGTTACAAATAAGAACAATCAGAGCAACAAAAACAGATTCATTCAAGAATCACTGATCAAAAACACCACTGACCTAATACAGAGCTCCCTGAAACCTTAGGTGATTCCCCAACAGCCTGAAGCTGACCTGTCACCTTGGGGTTTTTGACAGAACAACAATGGCACCTGCCTCCCTGTGTTTCTGGATATTCTTTGAAGCCCCAATGTGAGAACAATGAAGGTGAAGATCCATGCAAATACCCAGGAAACAAGATACACAGGTTGTGACCTCACAGGGCTTGGTCCTAGAAACTGGCAGAATTGGCATTAATACTTGGTTACCACCATGACCACAGTCTGTGTGCTTTCCTGGGCTGGCCCCTCCTACTGGAGCAGACAGAATGTTTGCAGTTTGTGACCCTGCTAGAAACAGCGGGTTCCAGACCTGGGTGTGGCTTCAGGGTCCGTGGCTCAAAGCAGGCATTAAAGTTGACTCTGCCAAGTTCAAGTAGCAGGAGCAGAACAGGGAGCAAGGGGACACCAAGGGCCAGAGTGCTCCAAGGGCTCCTTTCCCAGCTTCAGCCAGCTCCAGGGGCCCCTGGGAGACAACTGGCATTTGCCTGTAAAGGCTCCCTCTTCAGGAGACAAAGAATCCACTGTTGACTGCCCAGGGCCTTAATATATGCAAAAGAATGAAGTGGAAAATTCCACCTGTGTGGGTGAAGACTGGACCCAGGACATGTCAACAGCCCACATGGCCTTGTCCTCTCAGGGATGGATCCAGCCCAGCAACAAAGGTCTGAGTAGCAGTGATAGAATCTGGGGATTGTTGTTCCTCTAGAGTCCAAGGGAATTTCCCTATTTGAGTCGTAGAGATATTAGGAACTTTTAAAAATTGTCCCACACATCTGCCTGAAAAGCTACAAAATAATTTTAACCCCTCTGACTTGCTTTCCTGTCTCTTATTTCTTCAGAGTCTCCTAAAGTCCTCCTGGTAGGCAGGCAAAGCTGGTATCAGCCCCATGTTATGGATGGATTGGGAAACTGAGGCTTCAAGAGTCTAAAAAGCCTCAGTCAAGGCAACAGTTGGTGAGCGAGTAGAGTTAGGCAGTGTGTAGGCCAGGATTCCTGACTCCAGTGGGAACATGGCACCTCCTGGGGTCTGGGTGGGTAGGGCACAGGCACACAGCATCCTCCAGGCTGGGCTGAGGTCCTGACCTTTGCTTGCCTGGAGGAACAGGAGAAAGTTCAAACCAGCCCTCCTAGGCAGCAGGCTTAGGCAGAGCCTTGGAGGGAGACAAGTGTTCATTCATTCATTTGGACATATTAATGAGTGCCTACTAAGCCCAGGACATGAAGGCATGCTGTGCCAGGTGGCTCTTTCAGAAACCCGAACCTAGAAGAGCATGATGGTAGGGGCAAGGCAGAGATCAGTCTTTACAGATTGCTTCTTTCAGATTTGAATCACCTCACTGACATTATTCTGTCTTACTCACCACACTTTACAAAAGGGAAACTGAGGCTCTTGGAAGAGCAATGGCTTGTCAGAGGTGGGAAGAAAGAAGCTGAACCCCAGCCTTGACCTGGATGGCCCCTCCTCCAAATTATCAACCCATACTGTTGAGACTTAGGCATCCAAGCAAGTTTGTCCCTTCCAGCAGGACACCTCGGAAGCTATGTGTTTAACCAGCAAGGACCTCTCACAGAGGGACACTTGTGGCAAAGCCAGTGTGAACATGTCTGAGGAGGCAGGCAGGCACATCCTGTTGGAGGACCCTCTTCATTTCTCCTTCCACTCTCCACTCCACAGCCCTGCCCAGAGAGCTGTAGGCACCACCCCATCCCAGAAGCCCCAGGGCCATGCTTACCATCATGGGCCTGGGACGGGAGGGAACCCAGCACCCTGCCTAGAACTCCTTCCCACCCTACCCACATCCTACTCTTCTCCTTTGCCCTCTAGTTTCTTCCCTGGAGAAGGAACCTCTCCCACCCCTTTCTCAAAACAAAACCATCCTCTTGCCCACTCCCATTTTGAACCTACTTCCTCCTGTGCCAGACCTACTGGTTCTTGCCAAGGTCAGGCGACCCTGAACTCTGTGCCCATGTGACCCCAAGAGCTCTGGCCTCAAGTGGGGTTTTCTTAGGACAGCCCTTCCTAGTCCTCACTTCCTACTTCAGTGGGGGAGGGGCTGTCCTCCTCACGGCCCCTCGAAATGGCTGATTTGAGACCAACTTCCAGGCCTGGCCTTGGTATCCCCAAGCTCACCACAGCAGGGCCTGCTCTGGTACAGGCTATAAGGGCAGCACCGCTCAGAACCTGGCCAGGGGCGCAGGGGCTGGGCTATTCACAGAGTGAGCACCTTGAACGGCTGACGCCTCCCTGGTCTCAGAAGGGCTAGTTTCTGCCTGCTCTGCACAGACACCCAGGTGGCTTCTCACAAACGGAAGACTGACCACCATATAAAAGCCTGCTGTGGTTCCCTGGCACCATGGGACGAAGTCCACTGGCTTCTGCAGCTGCCCTTGAACATAGCTCTCCCTGTACTCATCCTCAGTCTGAGAGCACTCATGCACTGTTCACCTTTGCACCCTGGTACCTGGCAGGTGTTTGCTAAACAGAAAGACTGTTAGAGAAACAATCTCAGAGACCACAGGGCTCAAAGTTACTCAGAAAGGTTCAAAGAGTGGCTGAGGGTGGTTCAGCCCCAGGCATGAATGAGGCCACAACTGATTAGGAATCAGAACAATCCTCTAGAAACATTTCTTGCAATCCTGTGTACACACATGCCAGAGCCCCCAGCTGATCTTGAGGCTGGAGACTGGGCTCTATTCTGTGCAAGCAGAAATAGGAATCTTCAACTGAGCCTGGCGGGTCAGGACTAGCTCAAAGTAGGGCCTCAGTAAACACAGGTTGATTCAATATAACCTCTCACCAGCTGACAACTCTTCCACAAGTCTTGGCTTCTCACGTGCAAAATGGAGCAAATTCAGCCCATGAGCCTGAGACCCTGAGTTAAACCCAATCTTTTTACAAATGAGGGGGCTGTGGCATGAGAGTTCCAGGCTCTGTACTGTTGTTAGCCCAACTGTTTTTCAGCCGTCCCCCAAACAACTATATCTCAAAGGACGGTAGTCCCTGGACCACCCACCCTAGAATTAGGGGAGTAAGGCTGCTGCTAAATCTAGACCTTGGGCTAGCTGGGCCCGGCAGTCCCAGTCTCATTTAGGCAGCACTGGGAGATCCTGAGCACAAATTGGGGAAACACATGTCTAAACCCACAATGCTGAGGCTTCACTTCAGCTTCTGGAGCCTCAAGTGTTACAGTCAGACCTCATTTTATGGAGTTACACAGTTACCAGAAAACCGGAGGGGCTGGAGTAGAGATTCCTATCACTTTTATCGCTAAGTTCCTGCTGAGCACTAGCTCTTTAATGGGGCTTCGGGACCGCGTCCCACTACTTTTCCTTCTGGGGCTCTGCCGCTGGGTAAAGGGAGCCCGAGTCTCCGCGTCCATCAGGGTCCTCTTGATCCACCACGCCTCCTCCGGGAGGCTCCGTGGGGACCCGCGCCACCGTGGGTTGGGTAGGCAGAGGGCCAGAGCGAGTTGCCCACTACTTACCCTGGGAAGGTGGGTCCCGGTGCCGAGCAGGAGCGAGCAGCTACCTCCAGACCACTGCTCAGCTACGCTTTAACTGGCGGCACCGGCCCAGCTCGCGCTCTCGGCTTCTGTAAGGGTCCCGTGGGCCGCTCGGCCGTGTGTGCTTCGGGACTGGAACTCGCGGACTCGTGGAGCGCACAGGCTGCAGACGTGTGGGGTCGCAGCATCGGCTCAGTGCGCGCACATGTGCGCTGGGGTGGTACAGCCTCCACTGCTCGGCTCTGCCCTTGAAGGGGCCCGAGCGGCTCGGACCCCGCCCATCCGCACGAGCCCCACAGGTGAGGTCGCTGCGCCTTCAGCCACCCTGTGCTGCTGGGCGGCCGGGAGGCCCGAGGGAGGGCGCTGGAAGAGGCGGAGCCCAAGAGGGCTGTCCTGGGCGCCGGGATAAGAGCGCAGCTGGAGGCTGTCCCGCGTCCCGCGTGGTGGTGGGCGGCGGCCAGGCTATGTTGCTTGTGCTGCTGAGCCTGGCCGCGCTATGCTGGAGCGCCATGCTCGGAGAGCCGGTAAGCCCCTGCCCACATCCCTTTCCCTAGACTGTCTCTTGAGCCTGGACCCTGACTGCGTCGGGGCTGCTAGCCCACGCTGCTAAAGATGACCACTCTGTGGGGTGGACAGGTCTGCAGTACCTGGAGTAGCCTCGATGAGCCTCAGACCCCCATCAGCCGGCTGTTTTTAGCCCCGCCAGCGCTGGGTGTCAGGCTGCTTGGGTCAGGGGCGTGAGAATCCATTTGGTCACAAATGCCATCATGGGTTCTTAATTCAGTCTTTTATGCTCACCTAGCCTCCGTTATCCTCACTGGTTAAAAGGGGGGTGGGGGCGTGCAGGAGTAAGTACCTAACTCATCCTGGTCGCCTAACATGTATTCCATAACCTGCAAAGAGCCTCTCTGCTGATGAGTAGGCGCCCATTTATGCTGGCCATTTGCTCACCTGTGGGGGCACAAGAACTGCTTCTCCATTACCACCGGCCTGCTCCCCCCCCCCATTTTCTTGATACTGGGAATTGAACCCAGGGATGCTGAGCTACATCCCCAGCATCCCCAGTTCCTCCCTTTGGGAAAAAAAAAATTATTTTGAGACAGGGTCTGGCTAAGTTGCGGAGGCTGGCCTGGAACTTGTGATCCTCCTACATGAGCCTCCTAAGTCTCTGGGATTACAAGCATAAACCACCACACCCTGCTGCCTGCTCTTTCTTTTCTCCTTTCTTTCATTCTTTTTCCCTTGTTGACTTGTGATTCCCTTTCCCCAGTGTCTTGAATGATTGAAGGAATCTTCTGGCTTGCTAAAGCCCCCAACATATATTCAAAACCAATCTCTGGACTGTTAGCATAGCAAATAGCCTAAAAGTATTGTTGTTACTTATTCATGGTTATGGACACCCATCCATTGTGTCCTGATGCCTTCTGCTACTACCATTGCCTCTTTGTTCTGAGGTCCTCTTGACATTCGCTGCTGCAGCAAGAATTCATTGCCTTTGTGGCAGTTACTGTAAGGTCTACAGTATTAACTCTGTCAAGTTTAGAGCTATTGCTTTGCTTCTTCCTAACACTTGCGTCACCAGTTCTTTGACAAGACTTCAGTTTCCAGTATGGTGGCTTATTTGTTTAAAAAGAATGTCTGATGATATCCTTCCAGAGTTCAGTTTCACAAGGACAAAGGGATGATTGACAACTTCACCTAAACCCATATTACTCAAACCCTCAAAAGTCTTCTTGTCTTCTGTTTTACAAGGTGTTGGAAATGTGGAGGTTTAGAGGGATTGGATTCCAGACCTGGTGAATTTATCACATTGAGTTTCTTCATTGGAACTTGCTCCTGTCTGAGAGTTAAATGTTTTAGGTTGAGTATGTAATGCCAAAACCAAAATTTTAAATACTTCTTAAGAAAATATTTCTTAAGAAAAAAACAGTTAACTTCAAAGGGTTTCTCACCGACCTTTCTTGGACATTGATGATACATATTTGCTTTTTTGAAAGCTCTTTAAAAAAAAAAAAACAGGATGAAGTGACAGTTGTTTATGGTTTTCTAAATAGCTCTAGTAAGTCCTTCTGTATTAGAAGAGAAATATGTGAAAAAAACCTGAGGAAGGTATTGTGGACTGCATTCATTGCTTTCTTCTGCTCATCCCCTGACCCTGGGGAAACTCATATACTCCAGACCATCCTGAAAACTGAGAGTTAAGCATTGGAGTGTGAAGGGACCTCATGATGATGGTCCAGAGTCATCCCTGGCTAGAGGCAGAGAAGGCTAATGCCCAGAGACTCACTCCTGGTCTTCAAGTGAACTAATGGGTCAGCTTGAGGAGCAGGCATACTGATGGCTGAATTCATGGTCCAATAATAGCTTAGTTTCCCCTAGCTGTGAAGCACAAGCAGCTCATTTTTACTTTGAAAATTTGTCACTTATGTATGCATTTAAGAAAAAAGATAGTGTGTTGTCTGATTTGGTAAAGGAAGGCTTGTGGTTTACTGGCTTCAACATGACACTTGGTTTCTTTTTCTCTTGCAGACTATTCAGTGTGGCTCTGAAACTGGTAGGTGCCTTAGGGAATGGTTATTTGGGACATTATACTCAAAGAAGGCCTGAATTCAGGCAGTGGGTGTTTGGAGACCAGGTAAAGGATGAGCCTGTTAGCTGATGTGTTTTAAGTTCTTAAGATAGAAATCTGGGGGAATACAGAGGTGTTTGAGATGGGTTGGCCTCCTGACCAGTCAGGGGGCACAGTAGGGCACAGCATGCAAGACAGAAAGCAATGCCTGCTTCCCTGCAAAGAGAGATCAAGGGCTGGAGAGGGAGATCACTTATAACTAGGACCTGGTAGCAAATGTTTGTAGAATAAATGCTTGAGAGTATAACACTGAAGAATGGGTGGGCTTCTGCCCAGGAAATGTGAATAGGGAGGGTAAACTGGAGGAGAGATAGCAGCTGCAGCAGCAAAGGCTAGGAAGTGGGTATGTGTGGTGGTATATGCCAGCTGGCTGAAGTCCTATGCTGAAGCACAGGGATGGCAGGACTGACCCTAATGAACATGGCAATACACTAAGCATGTCCACACATGGAGAGAGGCACCTGAAGTAGTCCCAGGGGATGTGTAGTTTGAGGCCAGAAGGCTGAAAGCATTAATCTCAGTTCAGCATCACCTCAGCTATAAATTGGCCAGCACCCAGAAATGTTTGGCCTGATTAGCAGGAAGAGTTAATGAATTGTGAATGGGGGATGGAGCAGGGTGATTTGGTTACAGGAGATGATATCAGACTCAGCAGGGAAGAGGAGTGTCAATGGGAAATCTTGCCTTTTCCCAGGGCTGTCTCCAGAGTGGATGGTCCAACACAATCTGACCCCAGGGGACTTGAGGGACCTCCGTGTGGAACTTGCTAAAACCAGTGCTGCAACAGAGGACTATTCAATTTTGATGAACATAAGCTGGATACTCCGAGCAGATGGTAGGTTTGCTGATGCAAATCAAAGATAAGTTCTGAAGTGTCTAATGAACCAGAAGTGTGCAGGCAGGATGACCCATTAATCCTGCTCCTAGACATACCCAACAGAAATACATACATGCATCAAAAATACATCAAAAGCCACTGGTTAAGATGTTCCCAGCAGCACTATTTGTAAGAGCCCAAAGGACTTAAATATCCAATGGAAAAATGGAATCCAAGACAGCAATAGGAATAAATGATGTTACTACACATAATATAGGTGTTACAAACATAAGAAGCCAGGTTATGAAGAGTTTATGCACTGATGTCTATATGCATGCCTACAACTATGATGCTTTCTAAAAAAGGGCAAAATGAATGCAGTGGGCAAAGTGGGCAAAGTTAGAAGTTGGGATGGTGGTTACTTTGGGGGTGGGATGACTGAAACGAAGCATGAGGGGCACTCCTGGGGGTTTTCTTAACCCAAACTGGCTGCATGAATGTGCAAAGTCATTACGTGGTACACTGATGACATGGTATATTTCCATATGGAAGAAGATGGGTTAAGCCCAGCGATAACTCCCCCAGTTAAGGAAAACTCAGGTTACTTTTCTGTTTCCCAAATAATATTGTGAAAGTTCTGGCATTTCCCTTAGATTACACTCCAAGGCAACTGGCAGGTTCTTCAGATGAGCTAATTCCAGGATCCACCCAGGATCTCAGTGCCCATGTTTGTAGTTTCCATCTGATAAAATAGTTAAATTTGATGCAGCCAAAAATACATGAGTGCCAGGCACTGAGAGATAGGTCAATTATTCCCCCCATAAGGTTTCAGAGAGGTTGGGAGGCAGACACAGGCAGTGACCAGGAAGCCCTGAAGGGGACTGTGTCCCATGTGAGTGGGATGCAGGCAGGGAAGACCAGGAGGGAGGCCCTGGCAAGACTCCTTTGTGAAATGATACACTAAGGCTTTGGCCCATCCCTGGCAAAAATGAGCTCTTTGTGTGCCTTGTTATAGGCCATGGTACACATATTGGACTTTACCAGAGTCAGACTTGCAGAGGCAGGAATGGGAGGAAAGGACATGCCACGGAGAAGAGTCAGTGTGGAAAAAGAAGCAGTCAGGACATGCATGGCTTGATGATACTCTTGGAGGGTCTTTATGGGGTTCCCAATGCAGGCCTGTTCCTCTCAGAGATCCAGAATAGAACAGATGTTAAGCTAATCACAGGTATCCTGAGAGTTCACACCCAAGTTGTGAAAGCTAGGAACTGCTGCTTGAAACTCCCTGAGCCTCACTGACTTCATCTGTATACTGGGGACAGCAGGGCCTACCTTTTAGTGCTATTGTGATTACGGACTGAAATGAAGCATGTAAAGTATCTAGCATCCAGTCATATAGTAAGTGACAAACAAATGTCTCAACTCTCTCTGCAGCCAGCATCCGCTTGTTGAAGGCCACCAAGATCTGTGTGACAGGCAAAAACAACTTCCAGTCATATGCCTGTGTGAGGTGCAACTACACGAAGGCCTTCCAGAGTCAGACCAGACCCTCTGGTGGCAAAGTAAGCACTTTGAGGGATGTGGCCAGTAGGGGAACATGAACCATGTGCTGCTCAAATAGGCTGATGAGCAGCTGTGACACAGAACAGGACACTTGAGTCCAAGTCCCAGTTTGGGCCACTTCTGTGCATTAGGCAAGTCAGAATTTCTGGGCCTCAGTTTCCCTTTCAGCAAAGTGAGGGGTCTTAAATTACATCCTGGCTCTAAAATCTCACTTTTCTGATTGTATGAGTCATACCAGCAGACTGTGTGGCACCAATTCCCTAAGTAAACATTGGCTATGACCCAAGTTTCAGTAGAAGTATAAGGGATGAAAGTAAAAATGGAAAGGGCAACACATAGATGCTGTTCCTTGTTCTGCCTTCCAGTGGACATTCTCCTACGTTGGCTTTCCTGTGGAGCTGAGCACTCTCTATCTCATTGGGGCCCATAATATCCCCAATGCAAATATGAATGAAGACAGCCCTTCTTTGTCTGTGAACTTCACTTCACCAGGTAATCTTTCTCAACTTCTCAGTTATTCTGTCTTGCTGGGACACTGGCTTTGATTCATAGAGTCAAAGTGAGGCTTTGGCCTTGCAAGGTCTCGGTTTCCTCATACGTGATACAGAGTTATAACCGCTCCTTACTCACAGAGCTGTGAGGGTTAAATCAGGTAAAATGAAGGGAAAAACCCATTTCTACGGGTGCGCTGAGTGCTTGATGGGAGTCATCTCACCAAGCCTCCCAACAAACCTAAGGTTGGGAAAGCCCCATCTTAAAGATGAAGAGACCAAGAGGTCAAGTCATTCATGCTGGGCTGTATACACAGGAAAAATGAAGGTGATGTTCAAACTCTGGTCGTTCTTGATTAATGCACTTCCACCATCCACGGTGTTTCTGGTACCATGCCATTTATCACACAGTAGTTCCCAGCTTCCTTGATGAAACCAAATATCATTTTGTAATTGATTGATTGCAGTACTTGGGCTGGAACCCAGGGATGCTCTACCACTGAGCAACATCCCTGGCCCGTTTTATATATGTTTTTAGACATGGTGACTTTCCAAGTGTTTTCTTGAAGATTGTTAACTGTTTTGATAAAGCTTGTATTTAAATTAAGATGGGTTACCACTCTATGGACAGATGATTTTTGTTCAAGAATAAAATGTCAGGGTCCCATTGATTTGCTATCTCACTTGTATCTGGAATATTTTGGCAATTTGCTATAGCTGTGATATGTGTGCGTGTGCTTGTACTTGTTGACAGGGAGTAGCATGGATACCTTTTCCTAAGTGTAACAAGTTTCATTCATATTCCCAGGCTGCCTAGACCACATAATGAAATACAAAAAAAAGTGTATCAAGGCAGGTAAGTAAATACAGCACTCTGCTCTTTATTATTTGAAGATAGTTATAAATTGAGCCAGCACAGCTCTATCCATTCTTTTACAGATGAAATAACCAAGGCTCAAAGTGGGGAGTTATGTATTCAAGTTGCTTGATGAAGAACAGCAGCAGCCAGGGCTCCTGATGCCTGGCTAGCACTTGCCCACTGGGGCAGAAAGCCTATCCAGGGAAAGATTCTTAGTAAAGATTTATGTATTAGAACAGTCACACAAAACCACCTCCACTGCTTGGTTAAACTAACATTTTAGCCCAAACCATACTTATAGTGGTGCCAATCAAAGGCCTTTCCTGATACTAAGGGAGCTCTGAGTCCTTTCACAGGCTCACTAGTGCTACTGACCTATGGCTGTGAGAAACCTGAGGATTTTCTGTTTGGATTAGCAAACATTTAGGGTGGGAATGTTAGTCTAAGTAATAACCTAGAAGTATGCTCTCAACCTGTGTTCTCAAAGAAGATCACCTCTCCCATGCTAACTATTAGAACTCTGCCCCTTGAATTGTAGAATAGTCTCTTTAGGATAATCAGTCGGAAATACCCAACTTCTGGGGGAGTTTTGTTTATTTCCAGGCAGTATAGTCTTGGGATGTTAATAAGAGTGGTGGTATTTGGAGGGATTAGTCTCTATCTTTTAGGCACCCTTCACCCTTTACCAAACTAAACTACAAATGCTGTTCTTGCTAGAGACAGCCCTGGAGTACTGGGCTTCCTCTCTTGCCTCATGGAGAGAGAAATTTGTAGGAACATAGTTGGGGTTTAGGGGGAGTAAGGTCTAAGGGCCTGGAAATCAGTCCTAGAATGAAAGATAGTTTCAAGCCAGGGCCTGAAATGGTCTCTTAGGTGGGGAAGATAACACTATCACATGTCATGTTCATGGAAATCAACCTTGTCCTTATTTGCAAGTCACATCAATGGAACAACTGACTTTTTCTGACACAGTTCACCTGTGAGAGTATCCTCCAAGCTATGAGGCACTTCCTTCTTTGTATTCAGTAAAGCTAGCACAATGCTGTGATGGATGGAGCGCCTAGAACTGTGTCCTTATCTAGGTCATCGTACTCCTGATCCTGAATTCACTCACTCCATAATCATAGACATGTATCTCAACCTGTGGTTCCTTCTCACATTCTGAGGACAAAATACTGGCCTTAGCCCGTAATTCAAATAGAAGCTGAGAACAGAAGCTAGTGGAAAAAAAAAATCAATCTTTGCCTCCTACCGCACTTTAGCAAAGCAGTGGCATGGGGTCTCTAAACTTTCTTGGACTGCAGGTACTCTGACACTGGAAGCAATGTTTAAAAAGCACACTGTGTAGTGGAGACATTATCTTGGTGTTTGCCTGAGAACTTGGGTTTCTCTTTTTAGTAAAGCCCTTTTGGGAACTTAAAGGGAAAGTTTAGCAAGTTCATTCACGTGGTTTGCTCTCAACTCTTAGGAAGCCTGTGGGATCCCAACATCACTGCTTGTAAGAAGAATGAGAAGATGGTTGAAGTGAATTTTACAACCAGTTCCCTTGGAAACAGATACACGGTTCTTATCCAACAGAGCACCAGAATTTGGTTTTCTCAAGTGTTTGAGGTACTTCTATCCTTGGTTCCCTTATCATCACCCCCATCCTCAACCTCCAGCTTCCTTATCTTGTTGAAGGAAAAAGCATAGAAACTAGGATTCCCTGAAGAAGGCTTTTCAGAGAGCAGAGAAATGTGTTGTCCAAATGTGCTTGGCTATTTTGATTAATTTGACACATTAAAAAAAAAAATCCTTGTGTATACTGGGATATAGTACTAAAACCAACCCAAAGTAGAAGTTTCCAAAGTATGAAATGAATCCTTATTCCCATAATGAATTGAAGTCAGTTTGGGAAATGGCTTCTTCATTGACAGTCTTTGATATGCTCACTCATATGACTTCATCTCACCTGCACCAGAACAAAACAAAGCGAACTTCGACAGCCATCCTAGTGACTGAGGAAAGTGAAGGTGCTGTGGTTCAGGTAAGTTTAATGAGGTGCTTTGGGGAGGGGAGGGACTCTAAAAGACTGTTCCACCGTTTTGTGAGCTTTTTTACAGGGTGAGTCACTTTTCTCAAATTTACTCCTGCATCGGGATGCTAGTGATGTTAACGGGGATCCATGATGGTTAGATCAGGAAGCTGACAGTCCCTTTTGCTTATAGTAGCTGTTGACTTTCCAGATTGCTTTTATTTTCATTTTCTGTCACAGATCCTCATGGTAATACTGAGATGGGAGAACCATTTTATTCCCCCAGCCTCAGTTTTAACTGCAAAATGAAGTTGCAGAGGATTTGAAGTTGGAAGGTTTGGGTTCCAGATCAGTGTATGTATGAACATTAGAGAGTGACTGCCTGTCCTCTCAGGGTCTCAGTTGACCCAGCTGGAAATGGAAGTTGGTTGGGTAGATGCTCTCTGATCTCTTGCAACTGTTGAGCAACTGTTGACTTTAGGATGTGGGGACACAGCCACCCTGGAGAGGAGAGGGGAGGAGCTTTTGTCCTTCATTCTCTGGGATAGGAAGGCAGTACTAAAACTGGCCAGAGAAAGCAGACTTTCATGGCTTATTATGATTGTGCTCCTCTTCTAGGAAACCATTGACTTTTCCAGGCAGGGAACTTCCCTGACTGAGGTTAATATGAGCCTTACTGCTCACTGTCCTGGAGATATTTGCATATGTATTAGGATATAACCTAACCCCTTTAGGTAATAAAATCAATAGGAGTCTTAAAGGACATTTCCATGTTCGGTCATTAGATTGGATTTCTAGATTTCTAGGCATTTCTAGGCTACACAAGTGTGACCAAGGGGAAAATGTCCATGACAAGTGCAGAGATAGGGTTGGAACCAGAAAAAAGGGGAAGACATGGTGGAAGTAGAAAAACTGTTAAGATTGTCTGAAGTGTGGTGTGAACTTTGAACCTCTGGTTTTTCCTCAGTTAATTCCATATTTCCCTACCTGTGGCAACGACTGTATCAGACGCAAAGGGACCGTGGTGCTTTGCCCAAAGATAGTTGTCCCCTTCCCTCCAGATAACAGTAAGTGCCTGGTCATTTCACTGGGTAATCAGAGGCCCAGGTCATAGGCACAGCCTCCATTAACTCTGTCTGTAGAGAATCTTGAGGGCCTTTGCATGCTGAACTGGGGTACAGAGTGATTCCAGTGCTGGCCTATAAAACCCCAAATCCAAATACAGACTCGAAACTTTACAGAACAGGATATATGAAACAGTGCACAATGATCAAAGTGCCACAGGAATCTGCTGAAAAGTCAATGGTGTAAAAGGACTAGGAATAAGAGGGAATGTATATTTCATGCATTCTGATTCTCTCATCAGTCTCAGTGGGGCTATGACTTGATGTGGTCACTTTGCCAACATTTGGATAACAAATCAGAAATACTGTTTTGTCTCTCTAGAGATGTCAGGTTTTTAAAATTTTTTTTTAATTTTTTAATTTTTTTTTTTTTTTATTACAGATGGACAAGTGTTCCTGCAAGTAGCCTGGGTGGGTCAAAAGATAGAAGGTGTTAATTCTTAAGAATCTCAGCCAAACACACTGAGGACAACCTGGGTGCCTCATAATTCTAACTTCTGTGTTAGGGTGCCTGAGCCTGTGGCAACCTCGGTATTCTTGTGAAGGAATGGCATAATTTCCCATCTCAAAAAACAGCTTTTAAAAATGCCACCTATGTATACTGTTTATATAACAAATATACCCAGAATAACACTAATTCCTCAAAGCACACAAAACTGATGTAAGCTCAGGTTACCATAGTGAAAATGTCTGTGTGTGTGTTTAAGAAGCAAGAAACCCAAGAGTCTCTGGAGAACTCCCCAGCTCCCACATCTCTTGGGAGAATCTAATGAGAAACCTGGACACTGTGGGAAAACACACTGATGAGCAGATCTGACCCCTGGTTTTAAAGGGATCTAAACTTCTACAGAGAGTAAAACTCTGTTTTCAAATACACAATAAATTGGTTTTATTTTGCTGAAGGTAAGCTTTGTTTTCTCCAGATAGAAGCGTGCTAGGAGGCTGGCTGCCTTTGCTTCTCTCGTTGCTGCTAGTGGCCACCATGGTGCTGGTGTTTGGGATCTACCTAATGTGGAGGCATGGTAAGATTATAATTCCCTCAAGGTATTCTTATGAGGAAATCACATTTTGAACTTTTTTTGTGGCACTGCTGGGGATCAAACCCAGGGCATCACGCATGCTAGACAAGCACTCTACCAAAGAGTTACACCCTAAGCCCCATGTTTTCAACTTTCTAAAAGGAGATTCCTCTAGAGGCCATCACACTGGCATTTCCCAGGGTTAACACAACATTTATTTAATGCCTTAGAGCACTGTTAGAGAGCCTGATATGCTAACAAACTGGATCACATCTGCCAGGTTAAAGCAGAGTGTGAACCTGGAGATCTGGTAACTACCTACCACCTATTTCATTTTTACCATGGAGGCTTCTACAAATACTGAAATGGGCAAAAAATGGCTAGAAGTCTACTGTCACCTGTGACAGATGTTCTAGGCTAGTCCTTACTTTTTAAAAAGTTCTTTAAGACCTAAGAACAATTGGTATACTAAGGTCTCTGCAAACTCTAGAATACTTGAGTACTTGACAACAGAAGTCAAGGAATTAATATAGAATCAGAGCTCGCAGCCACCCAATAAAGACTCTGCAGCTTTCCTCCACATGTACAAGAGGAAATGTAAATACATCCTTTGAGTTGCATGCAACGTTGTATGTAGAACAAGATCAATTCCATGTTCTGTGCTCAGAAAGCTATTGAGAACTGTGACCTCAGGAAGACTTATGTTTAGGAAATGCTATTTGAACTGTATTAGTTGTAGTTTCTTTTATAGTCCAGTAGAGGGCAGAATTCCGGTTAAGTTCCAGGGGTTTAACTTTATGGAACACACAGAAACTACCACCTGGAGGTAGAAGAAGGTACAAACTACCCCGCAGAGCTAAACCAACTCAAAATGTGATGTGAAGTGCAGAGATCGGATAGTACCTAAGCCTAAATAATTTCTATAAATTTATTTGAAAAAACAAAGCTCGAGAAGACTAATTTAGTGAGTATGTTTCAGGTGCTATGTCTAAAATGATACCTGAAACATACTCACTAAATCAGTTAGGTCCCAGTGCTCCACTGACATTCTTTCTCAAGTAAGGGATCACTTATCGGGGGTGATTTAGACTAGGGAGAAAGCCTGCTGTTAACTGTTCAGATAATAAATGCTTTTCCTCCTCTCACAGAAAAGATCAAGAACACTTCCCTTCCTACTACAAGTCTACTGCCCCTCATTAAAGTTCTGGTGGTCCACCCATCTGAAATATGTTTCCATCACACAGTTTGTTACTTCACTGAATTTCTTCAAAATAACTGCAGAAGTGAGGTGATCCTTGAAAAATGGCAGAAAAAGAAAATAGCCGAGATGGGTCCAGTTCAGTGGCTTACCACTCAGAAGAAAGCAGCAGATAAAGTAATCTTCCTTCTTTCCAATGATGCCAATACCATGTGCGACGATACCTGTGGCCACAACGAGGGCAGCCCCAGTGAGAACTCTCAAGACCTGTTCCCCCTGGCCTTTAATCTTTTCTGCAGTGATCTGAGCAGCCAGACTCATCTACACAAATACATAGTGGTCTGCTTCAGAGGGGCTGATCCCAAAGACAACTACAGTGCCCTCCATGTCTGCCCCAAGTTCCACCTCATGAAGGATGCCGCGGCTCTCCAAACACAACTTCTCTGTGCTACACAGCACATGTCAGTGGGGAAATGGTCACAAGTCTGCCACAGCAGCTGCTCCCCCTTGTAGCCCACCCAAGAGAAGAGCAAGACCACAAAGCCTTCCTACCCAACCAGTTTTGGAGAGAGCTCTGTGATGACCCTGAAATTTACTACCCAGGCTACTGATAGGGAAGGCTATATATAGACTTGCTTTAGAACCAGAATAGAGAGAATCAAAACTGAACATACAGATCATAGATTAGTCATTTAAAAATGTTATGCTCGTTTGGGGTTTTAGCTCAGTGGTAGAGAGCTTGCCTCACACACATGAGGCACTAGGTTTCATCCTCAGCACCACATAAAAATAAATCAATAAAATAAAGGTATTGTGTCCATCTACAACTAAAAAAATAAAACAAATGTTATGCTGATAAAATTTTTACAAATGCCACTATTAGAACATCAATGAACTGAGACTAAATTTATAATTAAAGCCAAGTCAATTGTATACCATCAAATCAAGGATAGTTATAACTGAAAATTATAATCATTCTGATAATACTGTGCTTAAGCCATCTTCCAACCAGAAGTCCAATCTTGAATAACCCATGCCTTGAACTGTTGGTAGAAGTGTTTAGTTCTGTAACATTCTAGGTTCAATTAATGAATACTAAATTTAATAAGCTCTCATTAATTCACTCAGTAGTTTTCTTGGAGAAAACCCCTCTATTACACACAGAAATCCTTCTTTTTCTTTTTTCTTTTTTTTTTATTCTTTTGGAGCCACATCCCCAGTCCTTTTTATTTTATATTTTGACACAAGGTCTTGCTGAGACTGGCTTTGAACTTACAATCCTCCTGCCTCAGACTCCCAAGCTGCTGGGATTATAGGCATGCACCACCATGCCCACCAGAAATCTTTACCTTTAAGATAGTAAAAGTTGGGTATAATAAACTGGGCCCATCTTAGCCAACCAAATTTGTATCAACTGTAAAGTTTGGTATTTGCTTAGGACCTTCTCTCTCCAAACTAGATTCATGTCTGGACTCTTGTGCAAGTGCCTGTTCATTTAAAATACCAAATTACACTCCTGTAAACCTAATGTCTACCTTTGCCCAAAGTTACCTATTAGAGATCACTATCAAGAGTTTTCAGTTCCTGTTATTACATAATTTTTCATGTTTAAAACAAAACTACTTCTTAGTTTTTTTATTTAGGTAAACTATTGCAACTCACTTATAAAAAGATAACATTGAGAGGTAACTTTCAACCTATCAGCATTATAGAACACAAAGAGGTAAAATATTTAAAGTCTTCCAATTCTTTCCTAAAAGCATCTTTTTCTTAATACAGAGCTCACAAAAATACATTTCTATTAGATGTATTTTCCCAGGAATACTTATACAGTGTAAAAATGAATCTGCTCTGGAATGGGGGTCAATTTCAGATGGATGACTATTAAAATGTACGCATTTGCAGAACAGTCTTAAGAGACCATTTCCTCCTCCTAATAGTTGTCTTATGGATAAAATAAAAACCCAAATAAAGAAGCATAAAGTGAGAACTCACCATATCCAGCTTCATAAGCGGATACTTGGTAATAATGGCTGAAGCAGTATATTTAATGTGGCAAGGCTCATTTATTTGTCATGACAGTTTTCACAATGCCTATCAAAGTGCTGGTAAGAGGAGATGGATATGGCTCACATCAAAACTTGGACTAGTAATCAACTTCCTCTGAATCAGCATATACCCATTATATGTTATGTGAAGAACTATTAGAAACAACTATATACTTCTGAAATAGGCAGTTGATACTAAATTGTGTTGAAACAACCCAGAAACACAAAATCAATATTGTATAAATTTGTAAAAAAGATAATTTTCAAGCTGAAATCATACATCCCGAATAGTATTAGCAAGTTAAAATTATTTTGATGTACTTGTGGACTCTTCTATTCCTAATCTACTGATGGAGTTACACAGGTTATGCTTATCTGTGCAAAATGCCTCAGTACCACATTTCTTCCTGCCTTAGACTTCTTTCTATATTACATTCTTACCTCCAACTCTTACCTTTCCCTGATTTTGTCTCTCCCCACATCTGCAGTCCTGGTCATAGTGGTGACAAGAACAGGCACCTAACAGCTGGGGTCAGGCATTCTCTCCCACCTGCCAGGTCTCTTGAGTTCCAGGTATGTGCTCACTACTGGCTCCTGTCTCCACTGAGACACCTTCTCAAAGAAGTCATGCTCAAGGCCTGGACCACTAGTGCTGATGACTATATTATTTTGATTTTGCTCCAGAGTGCTCACAGGTTAAGGGCAACTGGTCATACTGAACATAGAAATCTCCAAAAGCTTGCATCTGGTTCTTCAAATAAAGGAAAACTGGGGGCTTGATGATCAAGTAGTAATCCTGACAGTTACCATATTATACAGCACAAGCTAACAACTCTAAATTTTATCCAAATCATTTCTATATAGCTTTAAGAAGGAAAGATGTCCATTTTAGCTGTTGTCTTGCTCTTATAACAGTTTTCTTTAACCCACCCTACAGCATTTCTGATGACAGCATCTAGCCAGTAAAGCCTTAAGTTGTTGTCTCTAGAAATCTAGAACTGAATGGGTTCCTATCTTTTTTTGTAATCCCACAGAAAATTGAAAAAAACCCAAAAACTACTTTTTTTGTATTTAGAATTCCAAGAATACATGAGTCACGTGCACAGAACTCAAGACACCTATACTATGCTAGACAAGAGGGAAATGGCACAAATGGGCCCTTCTCACAAGTCACATCAGTATGGCTGACAATGCTCAGAGGTCAACAAAAAGTTCTTCGCCCCATAAAAGAAAGTTCAACAGCAACATTTTATATCACTGCGAAGCCCTGAGAAAGGGGCAGAGAGCTACAATTAAAGAGTTCATATTTATTCTTAAATGACCTGTCTTCAAAAGATTATAATTTCAAACCAATGTCATATCATGAACATAAAACTGAAATTTATTTCTTTTCCTTGACAATTAAGCATCTAGGTCAATAAATTAAAATACATACATACATATTCTTTATACCAAGAGACTTGTTTTGGTCTTCAACAGCGACTTTTCCTCCCCATTTCACCACACGAAAGCAGCTCGCTCTCGTAACATGCGGACACCAAAACGCTGCCATTCTCGCTGATAAATCCACAGTTCCTGAGTTGTATCCAAACATGCCAACACTGCCCCTCCTTTCCATGCAATCAGCCGAGGATCCATGTCCTAGACAAGTGATAGAACTGTTTTAGTATAAGCAGACAAGATGTATACTTCATTTACTTTAATCTGGGAAGGATTCCTGCTGAGTTCATGTCCTAAGAAGCTAGGTCTTCTAACCATATTAAGACAGCGGGACTCATGGACAACTAAGACCTCTCTGTTCTGACAAGAGAACACTTTTAATTTTTACTATTGAACATGCTACCCTTCACTACTATTCCACAACAGGCCTTTAAGCAGGAACATATATAACAAAATAATTTTGATATGTGAGTGGAATAAATACATTCCCACAATCCTTCCCTCAGAAGTAAAAGAAAATAATATCACCAGGAACTGTAGTGAGATTTAATTCAAACATGATATATTTCTAAATTCCTGGGTTTATATTTAATGAAATTCAGACACAATGTATTTCAAAATTCCTGGGTTTATACTTCTTTTCAAGATAGTTCAAACCAAAAAGATTTTTAAAGATCTTTCTAGTCCAGGGACCAGCAATAGTTCTTGACTATAAGAGGCTGTCAGGGTATGAGAGAACAGTATTCTCAACCCACCTGATTCTCTCACAAAGGTAGAAGTCAGGTGCAGCAAGGGCCAGAACCAGGAATTTAGTCACCTAGTCCAGAGCTCCTTCTGCCACATCTGTGCCACACTCAAGAGTAATTTTTGCACTTCCTCATACTCTTACAACCTCGCCTGACACAAGCCCAAACCTCCCAGGTTTTAACTGTCCACTTATTAATAACCACTGCTGGTTTCGTTTGCATACAGTTCAATTTGCACCATGAAACAACACACCTTAGGCCTTGTAATTACATCCACATTTTCAATAATTCGCCTGAACGAAGGTGGCATTTTGTTGAGAATTCTGTGCTGTAGAAATTCTTGAGCTTTATGAAACATCAAACCACCTCCCACGACCAGGATGGAGCTGTACATCTTCTTTTTGGTATCATCAGATGCTGAAAAGACATAGATATCCCTTCCACTTACCACCACCACCACTAGGCCAAGCCACAAACATCTCTTGCTTGAACAACTGCAATAACCTCCTCAAAGATCTCCCTCTAGACCACTCTTAAACCCACACAGCCAGAGGAACCTTGTAAAACACAAATCTTGAGCATGCCGCCACCCCACCCTTCATGCCTTGTTCCTCAAAGGATTAAGACCAAACCCTTCAAGGTGGACCATGAGGTCCAGTGTGGTGTGGTACTCACCTACTCTCCAGCCTCATTCCCACACTCTGGTTCCCACATCAGTCTTTGCAGCTTTCTTCCTCTGCATGGAATGTCACCCTGTTTGTCTAACAACCTGTTTGCTCTCCACCTGAGATCTCTCACATGGCTCTTCAAGAAAGCATTCCCTACTGCCCACCCTCCAAACCTTCCCCGGAGTAAGTAAAACTCCTTTATTACATCTCTAAATCAGGAGCTCTTAGGACCCTATAGTTCAACTTTGCAGCACCCACCACAATTATAATTTCATATTTATGCAATTATGTTATTCTCCCTATGCTATACAATCAATAAGGCCAAAAACCAATTATTCTATTTCATTACTGTACTCCTAACACCTGGCAAAGCAAGGACAGAGTAGGTACTCGATAGTTTCTGAATGACCATGATACACTGCAAAAATATACCCTAAATTGAACCAATTTATTTGTTATTTCTGGTGTCCCCAAATGTGCTTACAACAGCAGTCTATGCTATGCAGGATGGCTTTGTCAAGGCCCAGGGCTTTCCCTTCAAACAGTGAGATGGCAGTTTTCCTGGACATCAGTGCAGTGAGGGCCTCCTCGGAGTCATTGCCAGCCATCAGGCAGTCTCCCTGGGAGGATCCTAAATCCACCTCCTGAGAATGGAGTCTTTCTGGAAGATCAGAGGACTGGCCACGAAGATCTCCTTCAAATCCAATGGGTTTAGATGCTGATTTTCGGTCAGCAGTAGCTTTTGCAGACTATAAATCAAAAGGATAATCAAGTAGATGGTATGACCATAACAGAACACTGTTGATATTGTCTAGCTAGATCCCACCCTTCCCTGTCTATCATGTCCCATTATGAAACAAAAGCCAGCAAGTTATACACATACTGCCCAGCACCCAATCCCAAGATAACCTAGGAGTGAGGAGTGAGCACACTCTAAAGCCAAAGCAGTCTCGGTAGGACTCAGTGTGGATCTACCACTGGTTGGATTTTGATATTAAAATGTTAGTACTGATACCATTTTTCCTGAAGTGAAATATTTCAATAGGATTCATGGGCCAACGGCTACTAGAAAATCCTCATTTTTAAGTTCTATCTACTGCTTCACATTTGCCTATGGGGCAGGAACAAAGACTAGAAAAGGTTTATAGTTCTCATCTATTTTTCATCATGAGCTCTGATATTTCATTAGCAGGTAAAAGCTTCATTTTATGCTCCTACAGCAGACCTCTTATTACTGAAACTAGTTTTGAACAAAAAAATTCAGCTCTTTGCCCATGCCATATACCTTTTACAACGTAATTAATTATAAAGTAGGTGAGATGCTACTGAAAATACTACTGAATCAATATTTAGTAGCAGATAATGTAAGTAAATAATATTATGGCAAAAGAAAAGTGTTTTCATTAACTTTTTAAGTACATGGCATGGCATTCAGAAAACTGAATTAATGCCTGAATAAAGAAGTCTATCATCTGGATTTTAAAGTCAGACTTTAATCAGGCATTGTAATCCCAGCTACTCAAAGGTTGAGGCAGGAAGATTGCCAGTTTGAGGCAAGGCTGGGCAACTTTGTGAAATTCTATCTCAAAATAAAAAATAAAAAAGGGATAGGGATATAGCTCAGTTGTAGAGCATTTGTCTAGCCTGTTGAAGGCCCTGGGGTCAACCTCCAATACTGTAAAAGACAAAATAAAATTCACACTTCATCTCTAGTTCTACAAGCAGTATCAGGGTTAGTCTGTTGAAAACCGAAATAAATGATCAGTGATCTATTAATTCTGGGCAAACTTCTCCTGCAGGATCAAAATTGTCTCTTCTCCCACCAGAATTACTATGAACCTGTTCTTGCTTGCTCTGTGTAGCCAGTAGATAATGCTCATCATGAGGATCCTCAGGATCACCCTGGGATCTGTGCTGCAAAGTTGTCATTTTCTGTCCAACAATTCCAAAAGTTGCGGGGTAAAACAAAGCCATTGGAGCCTGAGCATGAAAAAGAAAAAAAGAATCAGAAAGATACTGCCTCCAACTTCCAACTAGCAAACTCACCATGTTCCCAGCAAGTGCACATTCTCCCAGTGTGATTGATTGAGCC